AAAGAAAATGGAAATTCAATGTTGTCATTTTAAATCATTTCCATCACTGGTATGCTGAAGTTAATCTACTTTTGTTTAGCCTCTGCTTATTAAAACAAAATAATGAATTAGAAAGATCACATAGGAAATTCTGTACTAGTAAAAGGAACTGATTTATAAATCAATCTTACAGCCACACCTTCCCTGTATTATGTATCTTTTAATGACTTCAACTTTGAAATGAACTTAATGCTCTACTACCATAGAGCATAGAAAGTTCCTAAGGTGGATAAATTTAAAGATTTGTTTTTGTAATTTTTCCCAAATAATAACAGCATAAATACTGATAAAAATTGTTATTACAGTAGTAAGTGCTTTCAAAACTCATATCTATTCTCCCAATGTAACATATACCCCAATATATTATCTAATTTTCTTGATAAGGATGATATTCAGACATTACACATCTCATTAGACCCTAGTAAACATCATACATGTTATAGCTACTATGTATTTATCTATAATATATACTCCTATAAGTCTAAATTATCCCATTTATTTTAATATGGTGTTGAACTTTCATGGCTGGGTCAATTCATTCTTTACTTACAATGCTGGTTACTTACAATCCCAAGTAGGGGCCGGGGAAGGCGGGGGGGTTGGTCTAGCACTGGGTTCTTTTAAAGAAATACCTTCAACAAAAACCAGATACAGATTTTTGCCAGGTAGACATTTTGGTCAGACAAGTATGCACCATACGATGACTAGATTTCTAAAGATATGAATTTACATTTTATGAATACCAATTGGAAAATGCACATGCATGCATACATACACACACACACATACACACACACACACACACACACAGAGGATCTCAAAATGCCTTATTCAGTTTTTATGTAAATCTCAGTAAAATCTTTTGAGGATATAATGGATGACAAGCAGTCCACCATTTATATTCTAAGGCTCATATTTTTAAAAAGTGTAAGCCTTATATTGTAAGAATGTAATATAACATTCTAATATAAATAATATTCTAATATAACAGAATATAAGCCATTTACATTCTAATGCTTATAGGCCATCACATCTATAATCCCAGCAGTGAGACAGGCTGAGGCAGGAAGATCACAAGTTCAAAGTCAGTCTCAGCAAGTTAGTGAGGCTCTAAGCAACTTGGAGAAACCCCGTCCCAAAATAAAATATTAAAAGGCCTAGGGATTTGGCTCAGTAGTTAAGCACCTCTGGTTCAATTCCTCCTCCTCCTACTACTACTGCTAAATAAATAAATAAATTTATGCCATCAGAAAACAAGGCATTTAGAGCATTTTACCAAAACTAGGAGAAGCAAGCATAATTGTCACTGAAAAATACATTTCTATCGTACCACGAGGGTTTCTCATGGAGTTCCAAGTTATTAGGGAGGAAAGGAGAGAAAGGGATAGCTTTAGAATAAACATCCACATGAAACTGATTCTTCAGATCCACTATTTCTAAGAACACTGTTCACCACCAATTTTTTTTTTTATATATATAAAGATACATGTGCCAATTTCTTATGGAAGTCAGCTTTAACTCTTTCAAAAAAAATAAAAAAGACATTATTTTTAGCTCATAAAAAGTTTCAGGAAAATGTGTACACTACACTTTGACTACCAAAAAGCCCCATGTTGGCCTACACATCAAGCATAAGTTTTACTCACATCTTATTAAGCTAGTTGTAATTTCTGCTTACATTATATCTCTTGTTTTACTTTTGTATTGATTTGTCTTCATCATATCTCTGGGATATAAGAAAGTAAGCCTTTTCTCTCTGAACTCCGAGACATTATAGTTACCAACCCTGATTACAAATGCATATATAGAGATATAGCTCTTAAAAATGAAACTGTGTATAAAATTCACAATTCTTATACTTATTTCTAAACATAATGTTAATATTTAATAAAAAGTCTCATGTATTTTTTATACTTGATCTTAACATAAAAATTATTTTAAATGATTTTAGATACAGAGTATTAAGTGTCATATAATTACTTAGCGTGTTTTAACAGATCTAAATATTTCTTTGACATTCTACTGTCAAATAAATATGGAATTCCTTGTGTGGAGCCTTATCAACCAACTGAATGCTTTATATTTGGTGTGAAAAATTCAATCACAATTGTCAAAGATCAAGCTGCTACCTCTGATAACAAACATGATGAGATATCATCTTGTTCAATATATGCTTTCACACTGACATGTAAGCTAATAAAAATATGAAGTTGTAGTATTTATTTTGTTTCTTGAACAACAGAAGGCTCCTAAGAGGGATAATGAAAATACCTAGTCATTGCATGAAAATACAATCAACTTTTTATAAGGAGGACGATTAACTGATTTGCAGACTAACTGTAGTAAAATAATAATGGCATGCATTGCATTTATAGATGATTTTATGCTAAGTACCACTGAATATCTCAATGAAAGCATTTCTATTTTCAACTACAAAAAAAAATGTGTGTTGTAACAAGTTTCATTCACTCAATAGCTATTTAATATTTACTAAGTATCAAGTACTATCTAGGGCTAGTCCACCTCACTAATCAGACTGAGTATTTTATCAACTTTTCTGTGGAGGAATGCTAGAAGGAGGACATGCAACTAACTTTTTGTGAGTCAATTATATTTCTGAGATACAAAAATCTAAAAATGAACAGCCATTTTTCACAGAAAAACAAACCCCAGTAGATTCGTATATATGGACTTAACTTCTCACCCACCTTGCTCCTTACCCTGTTTGGCTTCCTTTGCATTCCTTCTCAGGGAAAGCCTGAACTTGGTAGTCTCACTTTCCTTTCTCAGCCACTCACAATCAGCCCAGTCTGATAATTCCCGATGTTTGCTGAATTTATACGCTTAACTCTATCTCCTCTACTATTTACCTCAAACCCCTCTGCCACTTCCTTAGCTAAGAACTCCATCATCTTAAATTATAGTGACCATTATGTATTAGACAATAAAGTAGATGATAAATAATTAAATAAGGCAGCTTCAGTCCAATATCCTTTAAGAAACTGAGGCAAGCAGGAGGAGGAAAACAACAAAAACACCCTGAATGCCTTCCCTTCTGAACAACCACTTCAAACATGTCAGGAGCTGTATCACCCACCAGCTGGCTAAGATAATAACAATCCCTCCCACTTCTCCCTCACCTCCCACACTATCTTCCTTATTCATCATCTTAGTTTGATATTGTCACTCTTCTATGTATGTACTGTATATTAGCCAGTCACCAAGTGTCTCCCTTTTAGACTCCTCTAACCCATCGCCGTCCAAAAGAACTTTCTACAACAATGGAAAAGGCAACAGGTACGAACACTGAGAACTTAAAATGTGACAAGTGTGACTGAGAAACTAAATTTGAATTTTTATTCCAATAATCATACATTTCTTATGGCAACACTACTGAACAGCACAGCTTAACCTTCGTTCATGCTGCTGATGGAGTCATTGTCGCACAAAAGAGCTGGTAACATTACTTTTCTATATAAAACTAGCATGTCTCCTTACAACCTTCAACACTACACATGGCATTCAAGGCTCATTTAAATCAAATTACTACTTCAGTCCAGTCCCCCCAAATGCTGTCCCTTGCAGGCTCCAGAGATATTGGGCCATTCAGAGACTCCCAGAGGCCATGCTACAATATTTCATTCAAACGTCTTTCTTGTACTGAGAATGCTCCAGGGAATAGCTACTCATCTTCAAGATCCAGCACAAGTTTCTATTTCTCTGAATACTTAGCTGTCATCTCACAAATAAGCTTGACACTCTGGCCTAACTCTGCTGCAATAACATTTTGTATATAGCTCCACAAAAGCAATTAATCATAATTAATAGTTTACATATAAAAAATGTGAGTTCCATGTGTGCCAGGTAAAACTTACTCACCTACATTAAAGAGATGATCTGGAAAAGCATCTGGCACAGGATTTCACCCTGAGTAAGGATTCAGTGGATGTGTAGTGCCTTTAATATGTTTTAGGAATCGTGTTGGTGATAATAAGAACCTTACCAAAAGTACAAAAATCTATGAGAATAAAGGCTAGAAAATAAAAAGAAGTGGGGAAAGAGAAAAAGGTCACATGGCACTGATGATACCAATGTAAGACTAAGGTCAGGGAAACTGAGAAAACTGATGTGAGTTCCAAAAAATAACTACCAGAAACTCCACAGCTCAAGCTGAACTTGTTTCTCTCCTTCCCTACCTGGCAATGGCAATAACTAAATTCCTTAATCAGGGATTGTAGATGTTACAAGGTCAAGAACAAGAGAAAGCTTTTCATGTGATGTATAACTGAGAAGAATTTGTTGTAAGGAGATCAATAAAACAGTATTCTATGGCCCACTCCTCAGGAAAGAGCTCTGTTAAATAAAACACTAAATATATTTTTTCTAAGAAAATTCAACCAAAAGAAGAACTTACTTAATTTTCACATCCTCTAAAATAATAGATGGAACCATTTCAAAATGATCAATGACATCTAAGGTATGTTTATTCCTAATATAATCACTTTCCTTTATATAAAGCAGTCTTATTTTTTGTTCCTTTTAGTTGGCTTACAAAAAACAATGCAGATAAATATTTAAATAGTTAAAGGTAAAAATTTAGGCAATCTGAAGCAATAGTCAATATATATCATCGTGTATAGGTGCCTGAACTGAAGAAATATAACGTTTAAGTAATATTTTTATGTTCCATTTCACTGGTTTGACAAAGCATAGGTTTACAATATAATTTTATTATTAAACAAAATCCTTCCGTTGGATTTGCAGATCACACAAAATTAATATTTGGATTTAGTTCAGAGGTTGAGTAAATTAGCTTAGTTCACTCTGGGTTTGAGTTCATGGTTCAGTTCAAGTTCTTGATAATGAGCACATCAAAATAAAAATATTTAAATAATGTAATCAGGGCTGACATTTAAGAGTATGTGTTCAGGCAAGTATGTGTCTTAAGAAAACAAACTCACTTTACAGAGAGAGCTAAGGTTAAATCCGAAGGTTTGAGCATTCCGGGAGCCAGCGTTCATGTAGTTTCCCATTAGCAATACAAGTTCCAGCAACGTGCTGAAGCTTTTGCTCTTCTTTATCTCTTCGCAGGCAGTACTGACAGCCATGATGTCAGGTTTGATGTTGTTCACCTGCTCTTCAAACTGAAGCTTAAAGAGAATAGCACTGAGCCGTGGCCGCAGTCTCTTCACATTGCTCATCTGATTGAAAAGAAAATAGCAGATTTCCTTTAAAATGCATGGTATAGTTTAGTACTGTACGACTGCAAGTAATCTGGGATGATTTATTGGTATGACAGTACCGAAGAAGCAATATGTCCTCTGAAACTGATGGCAGGAAGAGAGAGAAGCCCTACTTGTTTTTGTAAGGAATCCAGAGTCATTCCTCAAAAACAAAATTAACAATTTAGATGTGCAATGAAAAGAAAGCTTTAGTAAAACAATAATGTTTAATTAAGCAATAAATTAAATGCATTTTTACACACTCAATTTTAAAAAGGTAACAGTATACACACACAACAAATTACAAAACATCCATATCATTACTTTAAATAACCTTTGTTCAATACTGAAATATACTAGGACATGTTTAAAACATACTCAGAAAGGTCTAAAGAGGGTTTGTTTGCTTCAAATAGCAATTGCTGTCCTCAGAAGCCCTGCTGACTAACAGTATGTGTTAGATAGAGGGAGAATAAATAGGTCCCAATTTGTACTAAATTGACTTTCTTCAGAAACACAGAAAGCAGAATGACTCCTGACACATACTAAATTAGCAGAATCAGAGTTAGGAAACATGGGAGTCACAGGAGATAGAAGTAGTGCAAAGCCACAGGTCTATCACATGCCAAGTTAACCCTCTTTGTGACTCTGGGAATGTGACTGTTGGGGATGAGAACAAATGGAGGTATCAAAAAGAACAAAAGTAGCTGGATGTGATAACCTATGCTGATAGTCCAAGTTACTCTGAGGCTGAGGCAGGTGGATTGCTTGAGTGCAGGAGTTTGTGATCAGCCTGGGGAACACAAGAGAGGCTGGCTGAAAACAAAACGATAAAAATGGGAGAAGTTCTTTAAAGCTTATTCCACCATTTTATCAGTATATATTAAGGGAATGACCACTTACCTGTAGGCTAAGACACACTATATTTAAGATAGATATGAATTTCTTAACTAAAAGGAAGATATTGGAAATTCAAAACTTAAACCATGCCAATGAGGCAGTAATAGTAAAATTATGGAATTTCAATAACTATTGTAAATATCAAAAACATTTTTGAGGCAAGACCAGACCCCCTCACACAAAAAAAGTGACAGAAACAACAGGGTTAAAATAGAAACGAGCCAAGCAACAAGAATGGAGTCCTAATTAGAATATTCCATGCTTGTATAATTATATCAAAATGGATTCTACTACCATATGAAATTGAAAAGAACCAATAAAAAAAATTAAAAACAAGTTCTCTGTGGCTAAAGAAAAGGATAAAAAAACAATTGATGACTATTCATCTAAAAAATCAAAGCAGAAAGTATTAATAGTAGAGATTAAATTCTTATATTTGAAAAGTTTCATTACAAAATACTATAAATATCTAATTTATACCTAGCCCTCTCATCAGCCACAGGTTAAATGTTTACATTCACACAAGCATAATTTTAAGAGTTCAACTAATACAATAATAAGCCTGCTTTAGAAAATGTTTTCAAATACTTTAAAAAACATCTTCAAGGGCTGGGATTGTGGCTCAGCGGTAGAGCGCTCGCCTAGCACGGGCGGGACCTGGGTTCGATTCTCAGCACCACATTAAAAAAAATGAATAAAGGCATTGTGTTGTGTCCATCTACAAAAAAAAAAAAAAAAAAGATTCTCATTCATATTCTCTCTCTCTCTCTCTCTCCTTTAAAAAAAAAATCTTCAAAGCCCCCTTTCTAAGAACAATATGGGTTTTTTCCTCCTGCAAGAAAGTAAAAAAAAGACTATAAACTTGACAAAGACATTTTTTAATTTTTTTTTTTTTTTACAAATTTAAGCAATATAATGTTGTAGAAAGAGAAATGGTAACCCTGTTATAATACTGATTTTAACTGGAAATGAATCACTGTTTTAAGATAGTGTTATCTCTACCACAAAAATTTCATAGTCATTTGTCCTAAAATATACTGTATGTTTTTAGTATGAGAAATCCTAGCTTGGCCCTTACATGGAATTTTTAGCTAATATAATGTATACTGTGTTGAACTAAATTGAGGTATGCTTTCTCAGGGGGAGAGAAATTAAGTCAAAAAACAGTTAATATTTTTCACCTCTTTTTTCTTTCTTCCCAACTTTTCCACAAGAAAAAAAGGTGTCAGGGAGTTGGGGCAGCCTTTGTATAAATACACAATCTAGGCATCTGTTTGTTGATTTGTAGATAAGGATAACTTTCATGAAAGAATAATGATCATTAAATTTATTTCAATAAATGTGTTTTGAACTCAAATATACATATGGTATACACCAAAAAGGATTCATTCCTTGAATTTTTTTTTCACTTTTTCCCTTAGGCACTGTTAATGGTAGATACACACATTACATTGGCAACATGGATAGTACTCCTTTAGAATATTACAACCTTTAGAATTACAACCTTTAGATATTACAACCTTTAGAATGCCAAGACACACAAAACAGCACTTACATGTATACATGTAATAATGACCATTCAAAAGGTATCTAATGGGCCCATGGAATCTCTGTCCTCAATGGGTACCCTTATTCAAATTTAAGAAGTCATTTGATAATTTACAATAAACAAGAGAAATAATTCTTCAGAATCCCATGCAAAATATCAGTGTTACAAAGTATTAATTCTAACATCTATTAATCCACTATTTCATGCACAAGGAAAAAGGGGGGAAAGACTATTTAAATGCCTACATTATACCACCTGAAATATGTTAAAGCTTTCCTACTTACAAGCTAACCATATGTAGCTAGCATAAAGTAATTAATTTTCCTAGAAAACTATAACCCAGATTTGTATGATTAATGAGTCTATCTTGCTCTAGGGACAAATACCTTGAAAAGATAAAGTCTATGATGTAATGCAGAACAAATTGCTAAAAATTCATTAAAAACCCTGACAAAGCAATGTCAGGAAAGGTAACCTAAAACAGAGCTTTGAACAACACTATTTTTTTAAATTAGGTATCCCTTTCATATTATTCTTTCTTACAAATTTAAATAAATTTATATTTTGACTATTATTAAGTGAATGTATTTTTTAAAAATTGCTGAGAATGGAACCTGAGAGATCATGTGGACCTGGTTACTGTCTTTAGCTTACTATTATGAGATACAACAATGCCCTAGACCACATGGTTGCCATTTTAAAAATAAACAAAAAACTCAATTGGAGCTAATGTAACATGACCCAAATCTTGGGATCTAATTATAATACAAAGATTCTTCATCTCAAGACTTAAATGAAAGTTTGTTTCTTCAGATGGAATAAAATAAAAAAAGGTAAAATGGTATGGAATAAAAACTCATATATGTATAAGTAAACTTGAAAAAATGTTCCAATATCCTCACCACTTCTAATACTATATCAACATTGAGGACTTAGATTCTGCTGTGGTGGCTTATGCCTATAATTCTAGTGGCTCAGGAGGCTGACTCAGGAGGATTGCTAGCTCAAAGCCAGCCTCAGCAGCAAGGCACTTAGCAACTCAGTGAGACCCTGTCTCTAAATAAAATACGAAATAGGGCTGAGAGTGTGGCTAAGTGGTTGAGTGTCCCGGAGTTCAATCTCCAGTACCAATAAAAGAAAGAAAAAGAAAATCAGAACTAAAAACTTGGCTGTAGTAGAATAACAAGTTAGCACAGAAATGCACAGTTGTGTTGCTCAAATAATAATAGAAAACACTTAAGAAAAAGAACAAAGGAAAGATTACAGTAAAAGTGAAATTAATAATAATGTTAGAAGAAATAAGAATTTCATTTTTATGAAAATATCTTTAAACTTATTGTTAGAGTCTCAGCTATATAAACTCATGATAACAAAATCTTTGACAATGATTGATAACCCAAAGATCAACGTAAAGAAGCAAAATAGTTTGCTTTCACTCAGTTTTTGAAGGCAATGAGTACCGTGCCTGAAACTTCCCACTCTCTACCATTCAGAGATATCACTTACCTGAGTAAGGAACCTTAAAGCCAGTGACTAGTGAAAACCGAACAAGAAGTAATGTTCAGAACTCTAAGGGTAATTTTTTTTATTTCATTGGCAACGTATGCAATAGAGCAGAGGCAAAGTAAAATGAAAAGACCTTTAGAAAATCAATGAACCAAGAAGTATAGACTAGGCCCCACTCAGTGCTGTGAGAAGCACCAAATTCATAGTTGTGGCTCTTTTAACATATATGCTCTCTTTTAAAGGGTAAAGAATAGAAAGTCTCCCTGGGAAGATGTAATCTTCCATTTTCTCATCACCATTATATTTTTCATATACAATCTTAATCTTATACATTATTTCCTGGGGAGAAAAACAGAATCAATTTGACACTTTTATACCAACTCTATTTAACAATGTATCTAGTCTCCTTACAGATATTTTTTATTAAATAAGAAGTTGTCAGGAATGAATTTTTTTTCTGATAAACAAGTGTTTCCTCCACATCCTACTGTGTACATTTGCATAGGCACACCCATAAAAAAAAAAAAAAAAACTTTCTAGTTCAAGTTCAGTGTCTTTGACATTCTTGCCTAAAATCATTATGAAACTAACCATTCATTTAATTTTTCAACGACTGATTTTAAAAGATATAACCTTCAGTTCTTGTAGACATAGTACCCTAAAGCTTTAGTTCTTAAACTACATAAATGCCTATGTATAAGGAATAAAGGAACAGAGTTTCAGGAAAGTTAGATGAATGACATCTTCAAGTCACATGGGAGCAGAACCTGGGCATAGATGTAACTTGCTACTAATGAAACATTCCTAACACTCACAGCATCAAAATATATAAATTGATAGCCCTCATTTAAAAATCATCCAGAACACAATTTCTTTCTACCATGCTCTCTTCCAAGACTGTATTTTTTAATTGCCCCACAGCAGTTGTTAGGTAACACATTAAAGAGAATGACACCTACTACTGCTACATGCCTGCTACTACATCAGTGTTTTTATCACTTCTTCTTCATACATCCATGAAAAT